CTCTACTCACCATTTCGCGTTTGAACCCTCTCTGTTGTATCAAAAGTTCTTCCCCAACTTGGTACTCCACTTTTCTTCTACTATTTGAACTCATTTTGCTTGGTGCCTATTGGGTTATGTTGATTCTTAGTTCAGGGCTAGTTTGTTGCAATTTTCTTTTCTTTTTTTTTTCTTTTCTTTTTTTGTTTTTTTGCCAATAACTTTAATGGGTTTTATTTGGTTTTAAGTTTGTAGGAAAGAAGCTGTGAAATCAGTACAATAACTAGTATTTCTATTGAGAACTTCTAATTGTGTGCATTTTGTAACTGGTTTTTTCTCACCCACCATGTGTTTGTGTGTTTGTTTGAAAGAGACAAAAAGCTGCAATAGACTAGAATTTGGATGTACAATTTTTTTGACTACGTGACTTATTAGAGTCATTTTCATTGTTTGAAAGAGACAAAAAGCTGCATTTTGTACATTTCGTTAAGAAAGTACCAGTATTTTGGAACACACATAAAGGGAAGTGGTTAAGCGTTTCTAAGAAGAATATAGTAAGACACTTGCATTTTAATCATATCCGTATGTCCCAAGGTTTTTGAAGGTTGATTGAATCCAAAACGTAGAGGCATAGCTGTGGTTGACATGTATGACTAAGCCAGTTGAACATAGGCAGTCAATGAACAATAGCTATTGAACGCAGCTGATCCAGTTGGGTAGATGGAACTTGAAGAAATATTCATTTCAGCTGTTAAAGGGAATTGTAACTTTTGATTTGTATGTTTCTTTGGTTTACTATCCTGGTCTGCATATATGGGCATGTGGTCATGACGTAGCTGTAAATTTCAAATCATTCCAAAGCAAAACTCCCTGCGACTTCAAAGCAGATAAGATGTTGCAGAATGTATAAAGAATTTGAAAAGTAGGTGAGAGTGGCAAAAAGAAATTTGATAGTTGGGTCATCAGAAATGATGATGTAGAAAAAATCTTTCTTAGGTGAAAATTGGAGTCACAAAAATTTGTTGAAATTTTATCACGATTGCTTTTCAGGGTATAATCTGGCATACACAACCAGCAGAGGCTGGATAGAAAATTCAGGAGACAAGAAGAAAATGCATTCTGAAACTAAATTAGGAAATATCCTAAAGGAGCTCAAATTAATGGGGAATGAATGAATTGGAGAGGCTTGACGCTTGAGTAATGAAGTGATGAAAGCACTGGGCTGAAAGCAGTAAATGTTCCTTAGATCTCATTGTGATGCCCCTGAAAATTGTATTCTTTTTAAAAACCCTAATGTTTGAATTATTTTCTTAAAGCGCCTCAATTCCTTGAATTATTTCAAATCTTATCGGTTAGCATTTTATTTTTATTTTTATCAAAACAGGTATATCCTAGCTGAATTACGTTCCTTAGCCAAATTTAATTTAAATCTACATAAGTAAGGGTCCAATACATGAATTTAACTCTAAGCCCTCACTTCTTTATTTAAATTCAAAAATTTCCCCAAAACTAGTACATGTGCTTTTATATTATAAGTACAATCAATCAAATTGAGATCTATATATATATATACACATTGGGGAATGTGTCCCTAGTACCTAGATTGAATAAAAAAAATGCCCCAATCACCCTTTCCAAAGGCCGGCCACCCTAGGAAGACGTGAGGAGCCTATTTTCAAGAATTGTAATCATGGTCTTCTAGAAACCCTAACACCTAGTACCCCTAAACCTAGGGTTTTGTTTCCAATGCTAGTTTCATTTCAACTAGGGACCAACTAGATATTTTCTACTCCTATGATTAAGCTCCCTAATCACTCCTATTCCATTACACTCCAAGTAAATCCTAACTTTTCCATCCAATTCCAACCAGTGGGCCTTTATGCCTTTTTACACCAAAATTTGCCTATAAATACCACCATCATTTAGCTTGGCAAGCACAACCAACACACTCACACACACATTCGGCCTAGAGGAGAGAAAGGAGAGCAAGAGAGAAGTCTTGAGAGGGAGATGAAGGAAGAGGAGAAGCCATCTTGTTCAAGCCTAGCAAGTAAGCCACAACACAACCTTCTCTTTCATTTTCCTTTTTCAAATACATGTTCTTAAGGGTTTTAAATATTGTTTTCAGATGTGTTATTGATGAGCTACTTGTGTTAAAAATGATAAGGGTTGAGCCATGATTCTACCTCTCTTGTAGTTTCCCTCATTTCGGTACGAAACTATTGTTTTTACCCCAATCTCTCAAACTTTCCAAAGGCACACCTTCAAGCAAATTTTATGAGTTTAATATATGTTAGTTAGCATGTTTTCATAACAAAAGAAATGAAAATTTTCCCATAGTGGATCTCTTTTCTCACAAATCCTCTTGTTTTGGGTATTGTGCCTTAAAATCTGTTTTTGCAGCACCCTTTCAAAATTTCTAGAAAAATGTAGAAAATTATTCTGGACCTCTACTTTATGTCAAAATCTTCCTTAAGGAGTTATCTTTCAACTAAAATTTGTTTGATTGAAAAACAGTGAGCGGGGTTTGCAAGAAAATCAAATTTTCGTAACGGCCAACAAATCTGGATAGCGCTGGAGTGTTTTCTAAATAACTTAAAATCTAGAAAAACTATCCCATTTCCGAAATATGTTCTGGAAACTAGATTAAATTCTCTACGAACCATAGGAAGGCTGAGTCCGATAAAAATTCTAGAATAGCCCTTTTCATTCTAATCCTTATGTGATATTGAATCTAGAAATTCTGTTGTGCATGGATGTTTTATGCTATAGTATTCATGATAATGCTTATTAGCGTATGATCATATCTTGGCATGATATTATATGTGTTATGGTTATGTTCTTTATCTTCTTCATCTTAATGATGCATGCTTTTGTGGATATTATTATCTTGTTAAGTTGGTCTAACCTTGATTTAAAACATTTAACTCAACGGAAAACTTAATTGGGATGGTATTGGGTTTTCGATCACTTGAGTAATGAAAAGATGAGAATATGTAATGTAATGGAACAAGCTCTTGAAATTAAGGATATCCGTGGTTGTTATGTACTTTTATTCTATATTTATATGTATACACCTTATCGTTGCTTATGAGACCTTGTGTCAATACCTTTTAAGATCTGTCAAAAAGGGTAGTGCGCTGCCTAAGAAAGCCGGACTTAGAAGGGAGGCTAATTTGACTCCTCCGACGATCTGGGATCTTACTTGGTTATTGACCATAGGACTCATTAATGACTTCCCCTTGACTGCAACCAATAGTTTAGATTCGGGACGTCACAACTTCGTATCAGAGCCTAGGTTCAACCCTTACCCCGCGCAATCCAATATGCGACTCTAGAAGCCCTTACCCGTTATCTTATTTTATTCGTTCACACTATTATATTTAAGGAAAACTAACAAATAAAAATCTTTTCCACCTTAGGATGTCATCGGGAGACTATCCAAGACGCGGCATCAGTCTCGACTCATGGGGTACTTTCCGTATGCAAGGAAGGAGAGCCATGTCTGTCAACCCCTACTTTAATCGCCGACACTATGTGAGTGCCGCCGAGGAAATGATCAAAACAGAGATACGTAAGGTGGAAACGGAGTACTCCCGCTATACGAGGGAGAAGAAGAGGTCCCTGGTATGGCGCCGCCTACAATTTTTAAGCTGGGCAGCAAAGAAGGCGATCCGAATGGAGCAAGATGATCAGAGGATGGACTCCTTGATACACTGAGCTTTGGCCACCATAGCATACCACCAACCACCGACTCAAGCTGAAAGCTATGAATCTTGTTATCAGGGGCCAGGCAACAATCAACCAATGGATATGGAGCAGCCACACGAATAGCAAGGGGCAACCCAAGCCTACCCTATAGAGGTGTCATCTGAACACAATCCCCCCTCACCAATGTACACCTCCTGCTCTCCGGACCAAGCAACTGACTCCGCTGATAAAGACCCAGAAGAAGACTTTGATTGGTCGGGAAACGAGAACTAGTTCGAGGAATAGTAAAACTAGACTTTTGTAAGATCCGCCGATGGGGATCCTTAGAATAAGATAGCTTGAACTTTGTAATGCGCAGATGCCCTTTGAATGTAACTCCGAGTTAGGAGCCCTTTTGTAATGATGCCTATTATAATATATGAATGATATGTTGATCTATGTTGTTGACTGTTACTTAGTACACCCTAAGGAAACTGAACCTTTATTTCAAATCTGAGTAGTAAGATTCTCTAAAACTGGAAACCAACTCACCACGTGCCATGAATAGAATGGTGGACAAGCGAGCGAATGGCTATACTGAAACCAACAACAATGCACGGAACCGCCCCAGAAACCAACACGGACCCGTACCCGCAGGGGCTGATATCCCCAATAACCTAGGTCATCAAATTTTGGAAGACCTAGGGCAAGTAAAGAACAATCGTCAAAATGAGAGGACTCGACTCTTTTCTGAGTTTCGAAAACAGAGGCCTCTAAAGTTCGCAGGTGTACAAGACCCAAAGGTAGCTGAAAATTGGCTTTGGCAGATAGAAAAAATGCTAGACACCATGGGCATAACCGAGGCCTCTGATAGAATAGCTCTGGCAATATTCAAGCTTGATGATGAGGCTGACCACTGGTGGGAGTTAATCAAGAATACTCGTGACATAGCGAGCCTATCATGGAACCAGTTCAGGGAACTATTCCAAAATAAATATTTTCCAAATACGATCTGCCGAGAGCGAGTCAAGGAATTCCAAAACCTGGAACAAGGAAATATGACCGTGACCCAGTATGCTGCAAAATTTGAAGAGTTAGCCCGTTACGCAACTAGATATGTAGCAAATGATAAAAAGAAGGCAAGGATGTTCGAGTGGGGGTTGGACCTTACAATCAGGGGAAGAGTTCTTCCACAACGACTCCCCTCATATGCCGAGGTGCTGGAAACGACATTAGAATCTGAAAGAGAAGTAACCGACACCAGGAAGGCTTAGAACAAGAGGAGATGGAGTCAAGTGTCTATTGGACCTCAGAGGAACCAGAAGGGAAACATGGCCTCAAAGCCCTACTCCAGAACACAACCACAACAGCAACCACAGCAACAAATCCAGAGAGGAGGCTATCAACAAAGGCCGACGAGACAAATCCAGTGCTTTCATTGCAAACAATTAGGGCACAAAACTAGCGAATGCCCCCAACTCCCTCTATCTGGGTACCAAGGAGGAGGTTCTGGAGCAAATACCCAGGCATTAGGTGGGCAGAAGCCTTGGACAAACAAGATAGGATCTACCAGGCAGCAGCTCCAGAAGAGTGGGAGAGCTCAGAACGCCAAGACCAGTGGCAACCAGAAGGCAACCGGTAGAATCTTTGCCTTGCAAAAGGAAGAAGCAGACTCGTCTGTAATTGAGGGTAATTTAGTGCTATACAATTCTTGGGTGCATGTTTTGTTTGATACTGGTTCATCACATTCTTTTATATCCTCTGCTTGTGCTAAGTCATTAGAACTTGTATGTGAACCTTTAGAAACTTCCTTAAATGTAATGTCACCTATGAGAGGATGCGTTCAGATAGGATTGATCTGTAAGGATTGTAAGATAGGAATGTCGGACCTACGCTTAACTTGCAACCTTCGTGTCATGGAAATGTCGGACTTCGATATCATTTTGGGCATGGATTGGTTGTCTGCCCACCGAGCAGTGATCGACTATCGTCAGACAAAAGTAATAGCTCACACACATGACGGGACACGTTTCCTGTTTAAGGGGGATAGACAAGACCCCATGGCTTCAACGAAACGTCAGACGCAGTGGCACGATCAACTTGCGAGTAGGATAGCAAGTTTAATTTTAAATGAGGAGGGCCAAGGAGAATTAGAACTTCCGCGCGTAGTATGCAAATATGTAGATGTATTTCCTATGGAATTACCAGGATTGTCACCAACCCGGGAGGTAGACTTTAGTATTGAGCTACAACCTAGGACTACCCCAATATCCATGGCCCCGTATCATGGAAATGTCGGACTTCGATATCATTTTGGGCATGGACTTGTTGTCTGTCTACCGAGCGATGATCGACTGTCGTCAGAGAAAAGTAATAGCTCAAACACATGATGGGACACGTTTCCTGTTTAAGGGGGATAGACAAGACCCCATGGCTTCAACGAAACGTCAAACGCAGTGGCACGATCAACTTGCGGGTAGGATATCAAGTTTAATTTTAAATGAGGAGGGCCAAGGAGAATTAGAACTTCCGCGCGTAGTATGCGAATATGTAGATGTATTTCCTATGGAATTACCAGGATTGTCACCAACCCGGGAGGTAGACTTTAGTATTGAGCTACAACCTAGGACTACCCCAATATCCATGGCCCCGTATCGCATGGCACTAGCAGAACTACGAGAATTAAAGACACAACTACAGGAGTTTCTCGAGAAAGGATTCATTAGGCCAAGTACTTCACCATGGGGAGCACCCGTGTTGTTTGCTAAAACGAAGGATGGGTCGTTAAGGCTATACATCGATTACCGTCAACTCAATCGAGTCACGATTAAGAACCAATACCCACTCCCAAGGATTGATGACCTTTTTGACCAACTTAGAGGCTCAAGGTGCTATTCAAAGACCGATCTCAGGTCAGGTTACCATCAACTACGAGTCAAGGAAGAGGATATACCAAAAACTGCCTTTCGTACAAGGTATGGCCACTATGAGTTTGTAGTAATGCCCTTCGGACTAACCAATGCACCGGCAGTATTCATAAGCCTAATGAATAAGATTTTTAGACCATATCTTGACCAGTTTGTAGTAGTGTTCATTGATGACATCTTGGTATATTCAAGGTTTGAAGAAGAGCATGAGCAACATTTAAGGATTGTCCTTCAAGTTCTTAGGGATAATCGGTTATATGCCAAGGCAAGTAAATGTGAGTTATGGTTGAATGAAGTAAAATTCTTAGGGCATGTAGTATCGGAGAATGGGATTGCGGTGGATCCAACCAAGGTGGAGGTAGTATTAGATTGGAGACAACCAAAAACCATGTCAGAAATCCGCAGCTTCTTAGGATCGGCCGGTTATTACCGGAGGTTCATCCAAGATTTCTCCAAACTAGCTAAACCAATGACTCGTTTGATGCAAAAAGAAGTAAAGTATGAGTGGGATGAAGCTTGCGAAAAATCCTTCCGTGAACTAAAGAAGAGGCTAACTAGTGCGCTAATTTTGACCATCACAGAACGGGAAGTGGGGTACACTATGCATTGCGATGCGTCTAAAGAAGGATTAGGTTGTCTACTCATGCAAAATGGAAAGGTAGTCGCGTATGGATCCAGGCAGTTGAAACCTCATCAGCGTAACTACCCAACACATGACTTGGAGTTAGCAGCTGCAGTTTTTGCCCTAAAGTAATGGCAACATTACTTGTATGGGGAACAATTTGAGATTTTTACAGATCACAAGAGTTTAAAGTATCTATTTACACAGAAGGACCTTAACTTAAGACAGAGACGATGGATGGAGTATCTCGACGATTTCCAGTTCACTCTCTCATATCATCCCGGTAAGGCCAATGTAGTAGCAGATGCCCTAAGTCGCAAGAGCAGAGGGATGATGGCTAAAATCTCCGTCAAGGAATGGGATATGGTTAAGACACACAATGAATTCAGGATTCAAGTAGAATCTCAAGATGCAAAAGCATATCTTAGTGCACAGAAGGTGATACCTAAGTTGATGAATGAGATCATGGAGGCCGAAAAGCACGATCAATAGGTAGCCTATATCAAGGGACGTCTGGAATCAGGAGAACCAATGCCCAATTGGGTAATTCACCCCGATGGGAGTTTAAGATACCAATGTAGATTGTTTGTACCAAGTGACGAGTTGCTTAGAGAAAAGGTACTTAAGGAATGTCATCAGTCTGCATTTGCAGTACATCCAAGAGGGACTAAAATGTACCAAGACTTGAAGAGGCAGTATTGGTGGAATGGAATGAAGAAGGAAGTGGCTAAATTTGTAACAAAATGTCTAACATGCCATCAAGTGAAGGTGGAACATCAAAAACCAGGGGGAATGTTGCAACCTCTACCAATAGCTGAATGGAAGTGGGAGTATGTGACGATGGACTTTGTGACAGGGTTGCCTAAGTCACCTAGAGGGTGCGATGCTATATGGGTAATAGTGGATCGCCTCACCAAGTCAGCACATTTCTTACCCTATAAGATGACCGACACTTTAGAGTCTATGTGCAGGCTTTACATTGGGGAGATCATTCGACTACATGGAATTTCGGTATCTATTGTGTCAAATCGTGATCCACGATTCACCTCTCGATTTTGGGGAAGTCTGCAGGAAACTCTTGGTACTGAGTTATGTTTTAGCACTGCTTTTCACCCGCAAACAAATGGACAATCTGAACGCACCATCCAGACACTCGAAGATATGTTGAGAGCTTGCGCAATGGATTTTCAAGGAAGTTGGGAACGACACCTACCTCTAATTGAATTTGCCTATAACAATAGTTTTCAAGCTAGCATTGGTATGGCGCCTTTTGAAGCATTATATGGACGACCTTGTAGATCACCGATTTGTTGGACTGAAGTGGGTGATGCAAATCTGATAGGACCTAAACTTGTTCTAGAAACTACTGAGAAGGTCAAATTGGTCTGACAACGGTTAAGAACTGCTCAAGACCGTCAAAAGAATTATGCTGATAGAAGGAGAAGGCCCTTAATGTTTGAAGTAGGCAACCACGCGTTCCTAAAGGTGCAACCTAGGCGTGGAATCGTACGTTTTGGGAGAAAGGGGAAGCTATCACCACGATATATTGGGCCTTTTGAGGTATTGGAAAGAGGGAGAGAGTGGGCGAAGTAGCATATAGACTAGCTCTACCCCCGCAGTTAGCAGGGATACACAACGTCTTCCATGTATCTATGTTGAGAAAATACATCGCCGACCCATCACACGTCCTCAAATGGGAAGAAATCAGTCTTGACAAAGATGTTACATTTAAAGAAGGACTGGTAGCAATACAAGATAGTCGAGAGAAGGACCTTAGAGGAAAAACGGTTCACTTAGTAAAGGTGTTATGGCGTCATCGGGGAATTAAGGAATCTACATGGGAACGCCAGGATTGGGTGAAGGCAAACTACCTCGAGCTTTTCGAAGGCAGTATGTAGTTGAATTTCGGGGACGAAATTGTTTTAAGGGGGATAGGTTGTGAAGCCCCTGAAAATTGTATTCTCTTTAAAAACCCTAATGTTTGAATTATTTTCTTAAAGCCCCTCAATTCCTTGAATTATTTCAAATATTGTCGGTTAGCATTTTATTTTTATTTTTATTTTTATCAAAATAGGACTATCCTAGCCGAATTAGGTTCCTTAGCCTAATTTAATTTAATTCTACATAAGTAAGGGTCCAATACATGAATTTAACTCCAAGCCCTCACTTCTTTATATGAATTCAAAAAATTTCTCAAAACTAGTACATGTGCTTTTATATTATAAGTACCATCAATCAAATTGAGATCTATATATATATACATTGGGGAATGTGTCCCTAGTACCTAGATTGAATAAAAAAATGTCCCAATCACCCTTCCCAAAGGCCGGCCACCCTAGGAAGATGTGAGGAGCCTATTTTCAAGAATTGCAATCATGGTCTTCTAGAAACCCTAACACCTAGTACCCCTAAACCTAGGGTTTTGTTTCCAATGCTAGTTTCATTTCAACTAGGGACCAACTAGATATTTTCTAATCCTATGATTAAGCTCCCTAATCACTCCTATTCCATTACACTCCAAGTAAATCCTAACTTTTCCATCCAATTCGAACTAGTGGGCCTTTATGTCTTTTTACACCAAAATTTGCCTATAAATACCACCATCCCCTAGCTTGGCAAGCACAAACAACACACTCACACACACATTCAGCCGAGAGGAGAGAAAGGAGAGCAAGAGAGAAGTCTTGAGAGGGAGACGAAGGAAGAGGAGAAGCCATCTTGTTCAAGCCTAGCAAGTAAGCCACAACACAACCTTCTCTTTCATTTTCCTTTTTCAAATACATGTTCTTAAGGGTTCTAAATATTGTTTTCAGATATGTTATTGATGAGCTACTTGTGTTAAAAATGATAAGGGTTGAGCCATGATTCTACCTCTCTTGTAGTTTCCCTCATTTCGGTACAAAACTATTGTTTTTACCCCAATCTCTCAAACTTTCCAAAGGCACACCTTCAAGCAAATTTTCTGATTTTAATATATGTTAGTTAGCATGTTTTCATCACAAAAGAAATGAAAATTTTCCCATAGTGGATCTCTTTTCTCACAAATCCTCTTGTTTTGAGTATTGTCACTACAGGAAAAATAGGATATGTTTTTACCCCAATCTCTCAAACTTTCCAAAGGCACACCTTCAAGCAAATTTTCTGATTTTAATATATGTTAGTTAGCATGTTTTCATCACAAAAGAAATGAAAATTTTCCCATAGTGGATCTCTTTTCTCACAAATCCTCTTGTTTTGAGTATTGTGCCTTAAAATCTGTTTTTGCAGCCAACTTTCAAAATTTCTAGAAAAATGTAGAAAATTATTCTGGACCTCTATTTTATTTCAAAATATTCCTTAAGGAGTTAGCTTTCAACTAAAATTGATTTCATTGTAAAACAGTGAGCGGTTTGCAAGAAAATCAGATTTTCATAACGGCCAACAAATCTGGACAGCGCTGGAGTGTTTTCTAAATAACTTAAAATCTAGAAAAACTATCCCATTTCCGAAATATGTTCTGGAAACTAGATTAAATCCTCTACAAACCATAGGAAGGCCGAGTCCGGTAAAAATTCTAGAATAGCCCTTTTTCATTCTAATCCTTATGTGATATTGAATCTGGAAATTCTATTGTGCATGGATGTTTTATGCTCTAGTATTCATGATAATGCTTATTAGCTTATGATCATATCTTGGCATGATATTATATGTGTTATGGTTATGTTTTTTATCTTCTTCATCTGAATGATGCATGCTTTTGTGGATATTACTACCTTGTTAAGTTGGTCTAACCTTGATTTAAAACATTTAACTCAACGGAAAACTTAATTGGGATGGTATTGGGTTTTCGATCACTTGAGTA